GTAGGAATTGTATGTCAAGTGTATGTCCCACATTCTAGCCACATTCCCCACATGCCGTACCCAGTGAATGGTTAGCATTTTGTCCACAGGCATGCGGAATGTCCACAGGCATTTCTCTGACCCACATCTATGCCCACATTCCTATAAACCCTTGGGAAGATCTGTCTGCCCTATGGCCCTGCTTTCTGTGACCCCGGGGCTCGTTCACTATACACTCAGGGGAGGAGTGCACTGTATCTGTCTAGACTTAACAGGTACCATCATGGCAGTGTCATGGCAGTGCCATGCAAACAATAACCCTAACAGCAACCACCGTCGCCATGGCAATGTATGTTTTGATTGCCAGTCTTGTTCTCTCTGTTTCTTACAGTTTTTCCCTTTTTATTTTCGAGAATTTCGGGTTCCTCCCCTTCCCAAATTTGTCTATTTGTATTATAAATTCGAAAACGGATTGGTCGAAGTATTTCAATTTGGATATCAGCAATCAACTTTTTTTAAGGTTTTCCGCTGTGAAATCGCGTGCCGGATTGTGGAGTAAAAGCACGTTCCTTGCAATTGACCTCCACCTTGAGATAATTTGTTAACCTTTTAAGTCAACGTCCCCGGGTTCACGTCCTTTTGGTGAACCAGGTTCCGACGCTGTACAACCCTCCAAATATAACATTCCAATCTTCAATATCTTTGATACAGCTAGTGGGTTTATTTATGAGAAGAGATCGACAGGTGGGCCAAACCAAGTATGGACTGGGGAGGTAGCTTTCCTTTCCGGCCTCGCCCGCCACTCGTCTTACAATCATAACAAGAGTTCCACGATCTCATACCTTCGCCAAATGATGTTAACCCTTGCGGGTGACAAATTATACAATTTTAATCATTGATTTTGTAAATAAGAGCCTCATTTGCATGGATTATATCAGTTGATCATATTCTCCATCCAATGACAGCCTTATCATAACAAAAAGGCTATTATAGCACTTCCTCATAAATTATGCAAATGAGGTCATGATTTGAATAAATTATGTTTATTGATGTTCACCTTCACTTAGCTTCCAAATGTGGCAAGTATGAAATTCGGGGTGCAGCAGTTACAACTATGGAATTATAAGAATTTGACATTAATTATGCAAATTAGGTCCCCATTTACATAATCTATATCCTCAGATGTTTTTCTCGTTCTCAAGTAGATGTCACAAGTGTTTCATAGTTCTATCATCGAACAAAGCAGATTTATAGAATTTCCTCATTAATTATGCAAATTAGCTCCTGATTTGCATAATTGCCATCTGATTATGTCAAGCATCACTTCAACTACCTACATACCAAAAATCACGACAATACGTCAACCGGTTCTTGAGTTATCGTCCTTCAAATTTTTTTCAACAAATGCTCCTACAGTTCCAGAACAAGGCGCTAGGGAACCCAAACTCATGTCACTTCTTCCCTACCCCAAGAGCTATCTACCAACCAAAATTCGTGACCCTAGCATATCCAGAACATGAGATATCAAAACCGGAAGTTCTGCTGCAGTACCTAGGAAAGCCGCCAGGGGGCCCAAAATCTAATCATTTCTAGGTCTCATGAAGACCTACCCACCTACCAAGTTTCATTCCAATCCATCCACTGCTTCTCGAGTTATCTTGCTAAACCACACACAAACACACACACACACAGACAAATGCTACAAACTAGAGTTCCACGATCTCATACCTTCGCCAAATGGTGTTAGCCTTTATGACTAAGAAATTATAGATCAATCCCCCCGCAGCTGATTGTGCAAATAGGATCCTATATTGCATCAATTATATCTGTTGATCATATTCTAAACCAGAAGACAGTCTTATCTTATCAAAGAATGCCATTATAGCATTTCTTCATAAATTATGCAAATGAGGTCCTTATTTGAATAAGTTATGTTTAATTATGTTCACCTTCACACAACTTTCAAATATCCCAAGTATGAAATTCCAGGCAGTTACCACTATGTAATTATAACATTTTCTAATTAATTATGCAAATTAAGTCTTCATTTGCATAATCGATATCTGCCTGTATTTCTGTCGTTCTTAATTACATATGTCACAAGCTTGAATAATCCTTTCATGGAATGTAGCTGATTTATAGAATTTCCTCATTAATTATGCAAATTACATTAATATTTGCATAATTGTAATATTATTATGTCAAGCATCACTTCAGCTACCTACATGCCAAAAATCACGACGATCCATCAATCGGTTCTTGAGTTATACGCCTCTAAACATTTTTCAACTACCGCCCTTGCAGTTCCAGAGCAAGCAGCTAGGGGGCTCAAACTCATGTCACTTAATTTACAGCACAAGAGCTATCTACCATCTAAATTTCATGACCCTAGCATGTCCAGATCACGAGATATCAAAACCGGAAGTTCAGCTGCAATACCATAACAAGCCGCTAGGGGGCCCAAAATCTAATCAGTTTCACGTCTCATGAAGACCTACCCACTTACCAAATATCAAGACAATCCATCTTAGCCTTCTTGAGTTATCGTGCTCACACACACACACACACACACACACACACACACACAGACACACGAACGCCTACGAAAACATAACCTTCTTGGCGAAGGTAAAAACATAACCTTCTTGGCGAAGGTAACAAAGTTGGATCTCCGGTGCAATACTAGTGACTACCAAACCTTGCTGTGAGTAATTACAGGTGACAAACGGTCTCATTCCGACGCGGCGGCTGTCGATTCAGCTTAATAATAACACCCGACTTCTATCAAGCGAGGTACAGTGGTTGTAAGGTCGACTCCAGAAATAACTGTGCCCTTGAGGCGTAACAACAGTAGGCATGTGTAACACAACTTTTAGGAAAACATATCAATCAGAGTATAGGGCTAGACTACAGCCGAGGGGGCCTCCTTACACAAACACATACACACACATAAACACACACACTAACACACACAGACACACACACACACAGCGATACACAAACACAAATACACATACATACACATACACACACACACACACACACACTAACACACACACACAGACACACACACATACATACACACACACAAACACCAACACAGACACACAGACACACACACACACACACAGATAAACAAACGCATACACACATTCATACACAAACACACATGCACATACACATAAACAAGCACACACAAATACATACACACACACGTATACACACAAATCACACACACAAACACATACACTAACACACACACGTCAGACACACTAACACACAGATACACAAACATACATGCACATACATACACATACACAGAAACACACACACACATAAACACACACATACACACAGATAAACACACACACACATAAACACACAAAACACACACATACACAAACACACACACACACTAACACACACAAAACACACACACGCACAGAGATACACATACATACACAAACATACAAACACACAATAACACACACAGGCACACTAACGCACACACACACTACCACACACACGGATACACAAACACACATACACATACATACACAAACACACATACATACACAAACACACACACACACACATAAACACGCACACACTAACATACACAGACACACTAACCCCCCCACACACACACATTCACACACACACATCCATACACAAACACACATGCACATACTTACACAAACATACACACAAAAAAAACACACAAAACACACACACACACACACACACAAACACGCACACACACACACAAACGCTACAGAAACACAACATTCCATGCCTGGTGGGACTAATATCCACAAATGAACTGACAAATTGACAAATGAACTGAATATCTTTCATGATCCTGCTTTAATCATCATCATCATTAAACATACATTTGTATCTGCAGCCATTGTGATCAAGTGAATGTCACAGGATATGCCCTACTACTTACCACGTATACATTTCCCGACATCCCGGTCCTACATGGTTCCAGACGAAGTCCTGTCCTCGAGTCGGTCCGACTTTGTGGTAGACGTTGCAGCAGAGAACGCAGTTCCCTCTCTGTTGGCTTCGGCAGGGTGAATTGGACAGTTTTGGTGCTGTGTTTGGTCAACTTGTGCTCCATAACAGAGTAATCAACGGTGATGTTTGCTAGTTCAAAGTCCACTCTGTTCGAGGGTGGTTTAGTCAGATCATTCAGTCTAGTTGTCATGTCTTGTGAGAAAGATACAACTTCGTAGTCGCCTCCCTCCCTGGCCAGAGTCTCTGCAAACTCACATGTACTCTTGGCGCTTGCCAGACTGATCTGTACTGCCTCTATCTCTGCATCGATCTGCTTCTTTCTGGACTTTTCCTCTGTGTCAACACAGGTTAGGAGCCGCTCGCCTTCTTCCTTCACAAGGGTGATTAGTGTTTGTACGGTTTTGTGGACGTTCTGACGAGCCCCCTCTGCATTCAGTTGAAGTTGTTCTTTCAAGCGTTTCTGTACTTCTTCCGTCTGACGAAATAACTGCATTCGGGCCTGACACTGTGGTGTGAGATCTAAGATTGTCTCTCTCTTCTCGGTAGCCACCTCTTCTATGCGAGTGTAGTTATGCTGCGAGTCCCTGTGTTCAAACAAGGCACATTCGTTACATATTGTAGAATCACAGGTCCTACAGTAGAGTTTCAAAATCTCTCCCGAATGCTTGGAGCACGGTGGCGCTATCCTGGCCCTGAAGACTTTGTCATATTTCCCCGTTTTCAGTTCCTCAAACGTGAAGAGGGTGTGGCCCTTGGTAGCTCTCACTAGGCGATGTGCGGACTCACAACTCTCACAGAGAAACTCAGCGCACTCCGAACACCTGGACGTGGCCGGCTTCCCTTCCTCACAGTTAGTGCAGAGAAGGTCATCTTTCCCCTGGCGAATCTCGTGATGTTCGGTCACAGCTTTCACCAGGCTAGCAAGAAATACGTTGTCCTTTATACCCTCGACGCCATCTTGGGGCAAGGGGACTGGTTGTCGACAAATAGGACATGGAAAGGTGTCACCATCGGTCTTCTGGACCCATTCCCGTAGGCAGTGCTCACAGAAGGTGTGCAGGCAGGGAAGAACCTTCGGCTTCGTAAAGGTGTAGCAGCAGATCGAACACTCGAGGGAGTCGCCGCTGACTTCGTCTGGGAAAGCTGCGGTCGCCATTGCTGTTTAAGATGTCACGTCCTGATATGACATCACTACGTACACCTGTTGCGTACCGAAAGTTCGAAGGGCACTGTCCTCTGGTGACACCGCGCACAGGGTTTGCACAAAAGACGTAACCTCCAAAAATATTGTACGCTATTCGTAGAAAAATACAATCAACAGTAAATTAAGCTATAAGGTTATGTGAATTAGGTTATATTAACCCCTTACGTTTTAAGAGATGGATGTCAAACTTTCATCGACGTATTCAATAGATACTCGTTAATTTACCACTCACCTGCTGTAGTCCCAAGTACACAGAAGGCCAGCACAACCAAACTACAACTTGTCGGATAAAGGCGACGCTTGGCCATGCTGTTTTAGATTTGTAGTCAACAGAGGTTAACTTTCTAAAACGTTCCGAATTTTGAACAAGTCTGTACTAGTCTCACGTTCCTTATGTAGTCAGAATTTGTGCTTACCTAATAATAAACAGCATGACCGAAGCAAAACTTTAGCCCCTGTTATCAAGAAGTGGAGACATAGTCCGCGGCGGCGACCTATGAACACCCTGGGTAATTGATAGTAAATAACATGTATAATGACATGATAAAACTGGAGCCAACAAAAGATAAAACTCCAAAAATCAATACGATAACATGAAAAGAAAACATTGTTTCCTAGGAGTAATAAGTCATGGACAGCAGTTCTTCGGAAAGGAAATGCCTGCAGAAGTCAATTGGTAAGGTCTACATGTATGCAACTATCTAAAGCCACGGTCACAACCCGCCGTACGTGCTTCTGCGTGCTGTCTACGTCCAAAAACGTGGGCAAACGTAGGGCATTTGTGCGTGGTGAGTACCACCTCCGTACGGAATCCTACGGATTTTGGGGCACGCAGACACGCCGTAGAACTTTAAGTGCATGTAAAACTGCAGACATTACGGTCTGCGGATTCACCACCCGTACGTGCGAGTGCGGGCGACGCACGTGCCCTGTACGTGCAGTGCGGAAGAAGAACGTGTGAGTACGGCCTCCTTACGGTAAAGTTGCAATCGCACAGAGATCGCACGTTGTAAGCACGTACAACTCACCACTTGCGCAACGTACGATGCACGCAACCGCTCACGGCCAGACGTGGCGTGCAGACCCCACCGTGACTCTTACACCTTGCGCAACGGTGCGAGGGACATGCGAGTGACGTGCGTCGATGCCACTCTTTTCCCACGTTTTCAGAAAAAACGTATCAGACGTAACATCCCAAAAAACGTACGGACAAAAAGCACGTACGGCGGGCGTGACCAAGGCTTTAGCGAGCCCTGGTATTCATCAATTCCCAACATCGTGCAAGAATACGGTTTTCCAATAATTCTTGGGGGTACGTCATGTTACAAACATAGACATGTGTAATCAAACCTTGTGTAATCAAACCTTGTTGGCCACAGACATTGGTAAATACACTCACACACACTAGTGAGGCTTCTAGGTAGTCTAAACTTATACCACTTCATTTATGCCCTAAATATTATCCAAAAACTTTGAAGCCCCTCTGCAGACCTTAATAGCCGTTAAGACTAACTTAAGACACCCATTCTCAAAGTCGACCTTCCTTTTCCTTCCTATAAATTTTGTCACAATCAATTCGCTGCATCTCTAGTTATTACCTCCATGAAAAATGGAGGTATTGTTTTTGGTGCGTCTGTGTGTGTGTGTTTCCGCACATTTGTAGCCAGCATAACTTTAGAATGCCTTTATGGATTGTGATGATATTTGGTATGCTGGTAGGACTTAGGAAGCCAAAGGTCAAGGTCAAATATGGGCCTATTGGTGGCTGACCTTGGTACTGCAGCAGAACTTCCTGTTTTTGTATCTTTTTGCAAGGCAGGGAAAACAGATGTGCCTGCGGGTTATGCAAAACACCAGCAGACGTGTGGAGGCAGCGCGCCTGATTAACGAGGTCTTCCCTCTGGAATAGGCTATGGACCTATTTCAGGCCAAAGGTTTGACAACAAAAACCTGTGTTATTTTGTTCTGTACTGCAGTGCTGTGTACTGTGTAAAAGCATTTCCAAAACTCATGGAGGTATGAGATCTCCGAATTCTTGTTCTGTTCGAAAACAAACACGGTGACGTATAAAACCGTCATTAAGCTAATTTTCAATTTAATATTTAATATTTGCCAACAGATCACAGATTATAATCCATGGCTTTAACAAGTTATGTGGCGTACATCCAGTCACCCCCCACCCCCCCATAGCCAAACCGAAAAAATTACCTTCTGGCAAAGGTAATGAAAAATCCGGCTGTCTATTTATTAACATTACCGCACAGGACTGTCGGCACGAAAGTTTACATCATTTCTCATATAATACGCACATGGTTACATCACTACAGAACAACAAATCTGTCAGTACTACAGAACCCAAGGGCTACATAACTCAAATCATGGAGGTTTTGAAATACTACTAATAACCTTAGCTCTTAGCCTGAGATGGAATATAATATGCATGGTTGAAACAAAATGTAGTTGCATGTGTATTGAGGTGTCTGGAAATATTCCTCTGTATATATATATATATATATTTACCGCATATCGAAACATGATGAACAGTTTCAAAACAAACAAAAAAACAGATCAGTGTACCCGGGACGTGTCTTTTTTTAATCTTCTACATAGAGATGGCTCTTTTTGATAACCTGCATTTATTCAGTTATTGAGATTGTAATCTGTTTCACAAGGTTACCAGACTATTATACTGGCCTATCCCATGTATAAGGGAGAGGGAAGATGAATTATTCAATATAAACTACAGCATGTCTCTGAAATTCTGAATGTAGCTTTTTCCAGCCACCACACCTAAATTGAAGAGGTTTAAACAAAATCTTTGTACCAACTTGAAGAGACGCTGCTGAGCCAAAATGGTGAAGGACAACAGAGTAAGACAGTTTTATCGGACACAAACAATGTATAAACAAAAAGGACAAATGGCGTCTGCCTAGTTTACTAGAATTGAAATACTAAAGAAAATTATAATACATATTTCAATTCAAGAGTGAAAAAGTATTGAAACGGGGAGAGTCTGTCATATGTATCTACTAGTAGGGAGAAACAAAAAAGTGGCATTGTGGAGTATGCTCCTTCCGTAAGGAAACAAACGTTTCAACAGATTGATATAACACTATCAGGGTGAAAATTCCGTAGCATCAAATCTACAAAGAAGCGAAAGCGATCATTAATTGTCACATGTATGAAAGGAAGACATGGTGGTCCCACAAACTTAAAACATGGCTGCCATGTTGGTCTTTTTTTATTCAGAAAAACAAAAGCCTGTTTGGCGCCAAATCCTGGGACTCATTTTCTCTTTCCAGGATGCTGCTTTAGTTCTGTATAAATTCTGACTAAGCTAAACAAAAAAAACTTGGAGAGGTTTCTGATCTCTGGGGAGGGGGGTGGCACTACAGGGTGTACAACTAGGGCAAAGGAATGTAATAAAGAGGAGCAGTGGAAGATGAACCAGACCATTCATGGCCCACCCACTGCATATGGATAACCTTTCCACTTGTACCTTTGCTCATCTCAATAACATTATAATATTATAATGAATGCTTCTCTGGGGGTATCTTGATCAGGTCGTAGACCCACAGAGACAGTAAGAGAGGCGGTTGCACTGCCCGCAGACAGTGGTGCAAAGATTGTTAGATACCGACAATTACGATCGAAAGCTTCTCCTTGATGCTTACAGATCTGCCTATCATGGGTACAGAGAGCAGGTAAGTGACAAATAATGTTTTGGATAAAATGTTTAACGTACGTAAGGTGTACGTAAGTGGCAGTGCAACGGAAAACGCAGCCATGTTGTTTTGGCTTCTCTTTGCAACTGCATGTGCAGTCCCAAATGGACCGAGATTGTGTAAGAGAACTGAATGGTTTGAGTGTGTACCTTTCACAGGCAAGCCGACAGGGCTTGCCTCTGTCACAGGTGTATGTGTCGTGTGTGAGGTCCTGAATGAAGATGGTGCTTCTAGAAGCCCTTTCCTTTTTCCAGCTGGGGCAGAGGAAGTGGCAATAAGAGGATACCCATTCCATGTCCTGTCGGCTGAGAAACTGGCACAGCTTGACAGTTCAGAGGTCGACACCTTAGCTTTGATAGATGCAAAAATCGTTGATATGAAGAACAACACCTTCTCTGAGTTTTCGGGGCTTAGAAAAATGAGCCTTGATTCCAACAGGTTAACAGATGTCAAACAGACCTGGTTCACTGGCTTAGGGAGTCTCTTGACGCTGATTTTGTCCAACAACAGCATTAAGCATATAGAGCCAGGGAGCTTCATGGACCTAACACGCCTGCGTATCTTGGATCTGGAAAACAACCTGTTACAGGCTGTAGATCAAGCCTGGCTTAGTGGATTAAGAGGAAGTACGATCCTGAATCTGAGGTCGAATGCGATCAATAGTATTTCCCCTGGATCATTCAAAAGCCTTCAGCTGACCTGGTTAGACCTGAGGGATAATGAGCTGTCATCTTTGGACAAAGACGTGTTGTGGGGACAGCCTTGGCTGTCACGTTTTCATGCCAGCAGTCGTGTGTTGTCGTCTGTTCATGATGCAATGCCTCATGGAACGATATGGGGGCTAGATCGGTTAAAACATTTTATCAGAGGGTCAGTAACAATGGTTGTTGAGGTGGCTAACTTTCACCTCTGTGTCAGACAAACTGCTAATGAACTCTTCTTTGGGTGGATGTTTAATTCAACAGACAATGTGATGGGTAACATCGGTTTTAGTGTGGTCAATATCAACCCCGGTAGATCATGTGGTGATTTGGACAGTTTTCTGAGCACGATCTCCATACAGGCCCCTACTCTTGTTCTTGCTTCCGAAGGCTCTCTGGCAGACAAACTGAACACCAATACGCCTGAGCAGTGCAGGCAGGTTTGGGAACATGATAGTGGCATTACAGTGCCCCTGGTGGGAAACTCAATCTTCCGACTAGCTTCCATGGCCACAGGGAACACAACCTCTGAA